TAAAGGGGGTAAGTTTCTTAGGGAAACTGTTGTTCTGAGTCGGTGGGAGAGTATAACTGGGTAATTTAGTCCTTTTCAACTGAGTTGATAACGTAAATTGGCCACCTTAAAGAGTTTGAAGGCTAACGTTCCGAGCGTTAGCCCTCCTCAGAGCGATTGGAGAAATTGTCGGTTGTGTGTGGAGTTATATGCGGAAATGGAGCTACGCTACGTGGTAATACGGTGACGAAAAAACAAGAATAGATTAGTTGAATGAAAAGCGCTCGTTAATACCGTGGAGATAAAGAGTGCCGATTTGAAAGGATAACTTTTGTTTTAGAGTTTTGCGGCTTTCCGAACTGCCTAGATGTAACGAAAGGCCGCAAACTGCTCTATGCTGCATAGAATTATTAGGGAGATTAAAGTGTCTAACGACTGGTTTTTAGCAAGTAACTATGTGAATAAAGAAACTTTAGAATCGTTGACAAAAAGGAATTTTTAGTCTGACCTAACACCCCCGATACAAAAAATATAGGACAAAATATATTCTTTGCGCGCACGGTTTTTTCAACTCAATGGTTCCATATCTGAATACATTTCTCAGTATTTTATAAGAGCTCGTAAATTTTAAAGCGGCACCAATCTAGATATGAGTGTTCATTTAGGATGTGTGAAAAGCAAATTAAAATTGGGCCATTAGCAGTTAGGAAGATAATTGTCAGTTGACACGTAGAATCGAAAAATTCGGGAATCGAGGAAAAGTGCTTAATGGTATGCCGGTCGAAATACAGGACGCTTTTTCCAACCGCGTTTCTGCTTTGTTTTTTTTTTTTTTTTATGTGCCAAACAAACAAACAAGAATCTTTTGGGGAAAAAAATACCGTATTTTATAACTTTCGTTCTTTACTTTCCACCCAGAATCACTTCGATAGATTTTTTTTGGAGTATAACGACTCAGATACTTTAAAAATTCCAACCGTCTTTTTGATAGACTGTCGGTCGCAGTCAACATTGAATGAGCATCTAACAGAATTGCACGAAGTACAACATCAAGCAAGAAAATCTGGTTGCTGCTGAAAATTTAACGCATCCAATGGCAATCTGTTTAGCTATGCATGCATGAAAGATCCCCGCTGAAATTGATCCAAACAAATGGAAACTCAGGCCGCTTAAGAACCTAATTGATTTTAAATCCCCGTGTCTATGTTCAGTGACTTTCTTCACTCATTTTCGAAGAGAGGTGAAGCTATAATTGGAAGCAAAGAAAAGTTGTTTCGCAAGAGAGAAAAGTAAGTTTGACTATAACTGAAGCAGAACTAATTACTCAGGTTGGAACAACCTTAACAAGTATTAGTTCGTTCATAGTCAACCTCGAATGAAAGAAGACAACATTCTTGTTCTAGCGTCGAGTTTAAACAAACAATCTTCTTCTTTCGCCCAAGGTACAGCAAATAGACTATCTGGAAAGCTCAATCAGAATTAATCGTAAAAAGGTACTGCTGTCATATTTTATAGCTTTGAAAGCGCTGTTTTGATTTTTTACCAGAATAGCGAATAATAGTACTACGTAGTTCCGTATTTAATTTAAACGTTTCTGCGTCTTATCAAGAGCTTTCCCATAGGAAACTTCCTACCATGCGTGTAGAAATACAGCCATTTTCAAAACTCATCAAAACCGTCCAGCATTTTTTTTTTTTGGAAAACGCTAATACCCACTAAAAGTAAAGAGAGACGTTGTTAATCTGTTTCAACTAATAATAAATTACATTAGTCTTTCTCTGTCCGATTACAAAGCTTTAACTTTACTTTCCATATTTCTATGTATAAACCTGCGTTGATCTGAAGATTAATTTCACTTCTTGAATCTTTTCAATGACCATTCAAGTTTGCGTCGCAATTTTCCATCCGATTTCTTTCAAATTTGAACTGTTAATGATCAATTAAATTGAATGGCTGAACTGTGGTAACACCACTTTTCTTCGTTTACATTCCACGCCGATGCAAAAATTGAATTTTCTGTCAAAAGTTCGGCGGGAGATCAGCTCTCTCGAAAACCAGTCAAGCCTTTTTAAAAGAGAACCACGGTGAATCGCAAATCGAAATAAATTCTCAGGCTGGTTCGAGCTTAAAAGGAACTCTTAGCGATAAAATTTTTCGCCGGATGGAAAACAGCTTTCACTTCAAAAAGAAAAACTTCAAGTTTTCGTGAAGTCAAATCAGGTATTCGTTGAAATAAAATCATTCCAACGAAATAAGACACGGTATTTTTATTTCTTAATTGAATTTCTTCCACTCCTACGTCAGCTTTATTGTTGGTCATTCTACCAACTATTGCGAAATGTCTAATCCAGTCGCAAAGAGGTTTACTGTTTTAAACAATTTGCTCTGCGATCTCAGTTATTTTAATTTCGCTTTAATCGGACAATTTGACGTGAGCTTTCTCGCGAACTCAATATTTAGGATTTTGCATGATTAAGTAGCTAGTTTGACACGCTTTGTTCCGAAAATTTCCCCTGGACTGGCTGGGAAGGGAAAAATTGTTTAATCAAGAGCGTTCAATATACGAGGATGTTCCTCAGGTAGCTGAAGTGTTCTTTATTCCTGTTCGTTCCTTATGTAAGGGTAGAGAAACTCGTACCTACCCAACTTTTAGCTATATCAGGGTTACACCATGATACTAAGAATTAATCTTCGACCGCTTGTCATAGTCTTCTGATATATTGATATATTTTTAGGATGAGTCAGTCAGTCTTCTAGTATTCGCATCCTGATACAATCTTAACATGTGCACACTGAAATTTGGGGTTTTACAAAAATAATCTGTGCTACGCCAGGTCCGACAAAGCACTTTAAAAAAACCACCTTTTAAATGTGGTCAAAAAATGCGTGGAAACGTATTCCTCATCTAATGCAGCAGCACAATACCCCGAGGAAAGGTAAACTAACCTGACTGGACTACTAATCCCAAAGAAAAATCAGTGATTGTAGATGATATTTTACAGGGAGTTGGAAAACCAAAATCTCAACAAATATAAAACGAAAGTAGTCAAGCATAAGACTGATCGACCTAGAATGACTTGATTTTTCCGCGAAACGTTGAAATAATTCTAAACTCCCATCATACCACGCGAATTTCTTCAACGTGCCATCAGAATATTAATTTCTGACCAATTCGTTCCCACGTCACTCAAACGTTAGAAATTACATTATTTGTTATCGTTCACAGAAACTGAAATGGATGTAACAAGCTTGTGGTTGATAATCATGATGTCATCCCTCGCATTTACTAAACCTGCCGAAGGTTTACCAAAAGGTAGGCCAACTTTTAATTGCGCTATGAATTCTGGGACATATTTTCCCAACTATTGTTTCATGAAAGATGGTCTGCACGTCAAATGGGCAGGGAGGGGGAAG